AATAAAAATATTTCCATTAGAATATTAAAAGTTTTTAAAAATCCAAGTAGCCCATAGGCCTGCATTTTTACTTATTTATTTTTTTTTTTGGAGTCTACTTTTCCAAATGCGAAGTTCAGTTAATTTCGGAAGCTTGCTGGGCATCTTTCAGCTTTTCCCCCTCGTGCATCACTTTGCCTTCTGCGTGTTACGTGAGTTCCAAATAACCATTCGGTCCCACCCGAGAGCAACCGAGTTCTTGGGTCATTGCGCTCTTGGGATCGATTCTGTCCAAAAGAAGCCACTGGAAATGCAGGAAACAGCGCCGTAGGTCAATGTTTTCTTGCTGAGTCCTCTATGACCACGGGAAGTTGGCTCAGTTGTCTTCTAAACGTTTGCACGTTAACGACGTTACTTCCCTATTGGGAATTTTTTAAAAAAAAAAAATTGTCCAAAAGACTAGATTGAAGGTCTGTCTTTAGAACTTTCTTTTCGACTCTCTCTTCGTAGGAGCGATTGTCTGTTCCGACTTCGCTCCCCGTGCGACCCAGTTCTTCCCGACGGTCCCGCACCTTGGTCCCCTTTCGTGAGAAAAGGGCCGTTTTTCCGCTCAGACGGCCACACACGCACTCGGTGTAGAATGTTGGAGAAATAGCAAAGCACCACAGTGAGCACCGCTGCCAGCCCTGATGCTGTTTTATCCGCGTGTGCGGACTTCGTTTATTGCATTTTTTTTTTTTTAAAGGCTGGTCCAGTAAAGCAGCGGGAATGGAGAAGGAACTCAGACCAGCCTGCTTCTTTTTTTTTTTGAGACAGGATCTCACTCTGTCACTCGGGCTAGAGTGCCGTGGTGTCAGCCTCGCTCATAGCAACCTCCAACTCCTGGGCTCAAGCGATCCTCCTGCCTCGGCCTCCCAAGTAGCTGGGACGACAGGAGTAGCTGGGACTATAGGAGTAGCTGGGACTATAGGAGTAGCTGGGACGACAGGAGTAGCTGGGACTATAGGAGTAGCTGGGACTATAGGAGTAGCTGGGACGACAGGAGTAGCCGGGACTATAGGAGTAGCTGGGACTATAGGAGTAGCTGGGACGACAGGAGTAGCTGGGGCGACAGGAGTAGCTGGGACTATAGGAGGAGCCGGGATGACAGGAG